GTGTGCGAGTAGAGAGGTGGGCTGAAGCTAAGATTGCATCTCCCAAAAAATGTTTAGGAAGGTTGGCTTGAATTAGTGAAGCTCGAGCAACATTAAGCAAATGACGATGTTTGTGTTCGACAACACTATTTTGTCGTGGTGTGCGAACGCAACTAGTTTGATGAAAAATACCCTTGAGCTAAAATTGATCATGTTTGAGCTCAGGGCCATTGTGACTACAAACCACTTTCACTTTGGTATTGAATTGATTTTCCACCATGTTGATAAATTGGATGAGAAATGCTTGTGTATCAGATTTGAGTTTTATCAAATAGATCCACGTGCACCTAGTATGGTCATCAACAATGGTTAATAAATATTTTGCACTCGAAATCGAAGCCACTTTATAACCACCCCAAATGTCAACGTATATTAACTCAAAACAAGACTTGGTCGTAATTAACTAATGAAAAAGGTAATCTAGTTTGTTTGGCCAGTGGGCAAATTAAACATGTACGCAAATTGCACGATTTATTAGATTTATTACGAGAAAGGGGAAATAACATGGAAATGTGATGGGTGTTCAAGACGTTGGTGCCAAAGGCTGGGAGGTGGTGATAAAATGGCATCGCATGTTTCTTTTTTCGGTGTGTCGAGATAGTAGAGTCCCTTTCGTTCAATTCCCGTCCCAATCCTCCTCCCGGAACGTAGGCCCTGTATAATACAAGATTGGTTCGTAAAAAATGGTGGCATATAGTGAATGGTAGGCAAGTTTGCTAATTGAGATCAAATGAGATTTAATGTAAAAAATGATACACACAAAATATTGTCAAATGTGAGATAGGGAGAAAAAATGACTTGTCCCGTATGTGTAACTTTAGCAAACGCTAGTTGGTAACTGAACAGTGTGATTCTCAACGGGTCTCGAAGAAGTCAGACATTCGGGGCTACAAACAACATGGTCTGCGGCTCCGCTGTCCAAAATTCAAACATTTTTCTTTCTATTTTGTATGAAAGAAAAAGCTTTGCCTCGAAGTTCTTCATAATGCGCAGAATTACCAACTTGGTTGACAAATGATGTCTTGATTTATATGCCTATGCAAATCTACTCGTTCTCTTTAGACAAATTAATTGTTAAGAAAATTGACGTTGCAACAGAATTCTTGTGTGTATACACAATTAAACTATTAAAAGAAGAATAAACAACACAAGCATTTAATGTGTTCGGATACAAATGTACCCTACATCCACGAGGACCTGCAAACAAGATTTCACTAGTTCAAATTTAAGTGTACAATGATTGGACTTAATAAAAACACTAAAGCCACCATCTTTATGTTATATGTCATTCTTGCAAACGACTCAAACTTGTTGATCTTCACATCAGTGCCTCCATCCGCACTCTTGGACTCCCTCCAATGTTGAACTCCCTTCTGACGGCGGATCGACCTCTCCCGAGATCTTTTAAGCACTTCTCCCGAAACGCTAATCTTCTTTATGGCCTGGTAGAAGAAACCCGTCATGTTATCTCACCTGACGTGCAGACAGGGTTGCAGTACCGGCTGCACCCTTCAAAGCCTTTATGGTGGGAGTTTTCGATTAAAGCTCCATGAGACTCATCAGAGGTTTGAGGGCTTTATATAGGCACGAAATTCACCACCATAAACCTAACTTGAGTTCTAAGTAATCAATCATAAGAAAATAGAATCCTTCATGATCTCTATAACCTAAATTAGATATGGAAGAATCTTTTCAATATCTTTCTTAATCTAATTCAAATACCAACGAAATAAATAAAATCATATACAATAAAGTCTCTAGGAGATATGAACTAAATAATTTCCTAACAATAAACATGGAAAGAAATCAATGACAATCTTCTAAACTAAGCAACCCAATTCTTTAAACTAATCTCGAGAATATGGTGCCAACACGATGATTTATTCTTACTTTTGATTTATATGCCTTTAGAAATTAATTATTCTAAGTTGTAATAGATTACTTGTTGAGACAGTATTATGTTGCAACTATAACTCTTGTGTTGTCACAGTAATTAACTACTAAGGAAATATTAAATAACACAAGAATTTAATGTGGTTCAGACACAATTGTGCCCTACATCCACAAGGACCTACAAACATGATTTTACTAGTTCAGATTTACAGTGTACATTAATAGGACTTAATAAAAATAATAAAGACTCCGTCGTTAATTTTTATGTTGTTCTTTTACACAACTCGAACTTCGTGTTTTCTCCACAGCAGCTCCTTTCCGCTAACCTTAAACCTCCTTCAAGCCTGAACTCCCTCCAGAAACGCGGATTACCTCTCCCGATTTCTATACATCAACTCTGTATATGTCCGCACACAGCAACGAGGGCACAATACTGCTTTACAGACAGATCCTAGCACGACTTCAATACGGTGAGAGGTTTTTCTCCAATAAAAGTGTTGAGATCTTCAATGACTAGTGAGGCTTTATATAGGCACAAATTTAGCCTTCCAAACCCTTACTTGATCTTCAAGAAACCGTATAACTAGGTAAGTAGAATCCTAGCCGATTTCTAACTCTATTCTAGATAAGTACAAAGATACCTAACTACAATAAGATACATGGAAATAAATCAAAGTCCTAATAATAATATTACAAAAATAGGATTCTAAATAATTCCCGAAAATAAACATGGAAATAAATCTTTGTCAATCTTTTAATCCCAAAAACTTGGTTGATTTCCTCGATTTTCAATAATCGGAAATCTGGTGCCAACAATTGGTTTCTCACCTTGTTTTCCACTTATGGCTAATGGCTACGTGGGTTTGGGTTGTCTTATTTTCTTAAAGATTATGAATCAGGTACCATATAAATATGATAGAATCACTGTAAAATATTTCATATATTATCAATAGAATGATATTACAATATTTATACACTAGCCTCGTTTGGTTTTGAAGATTAGGCATGATTAACTAAATAGTTGAACTGTGTTTGATGTTTGGTAACCCCAATAACTTGTCGAGTCGACCCGCAAATATTTTGTTATCATGGCTTATTTGCCTTTTAAGCATGTTTTTGTTGGATCTTCTAAGGTCCAATAACAGAATTGGATTTCATTATATTATTTAATCTTACATTGGCATCCAAACGAGGCCCAAAAGTAAATAATCGTATCCCTTAAAGGATGCTTATGACAAGGCAATATGGAGTTTTATAAGAAAGTATAGATAACTAATTGAATATTCACAATATTCACATAACCAATCAAATCAATTAAGCTTAATACTCTCCTTAATCACTGTGCTTCATAATCAATCAATAATATCTTCCTTAACACGTACCAAAATAATCTCTAATTGCCAAATAACCCCTTGTGATAAAAAACTCACTAACTCCCCCCTGTGTTAACATTTTCGAAGCACACTGCACCCTTTTTGATTTTAGGCTTTGACTAATGGTGAATAGACAAAAATGCCCTAAGGGGTTTTTTAGCAATTAGTAAAATATAATATACCAAATTTTAGAATCACTTTAATTTTGTAAATATTATGTATTTATTTTGAATAAAATAAAAAAAAAATATAAACAAGAATTAAATATATATTGTAATATTAAAAGTTCTTATATGCATTTTCTATAATGTTTTTATATTCTTTGTGATTATGTATGTTACATTTTATTAAATAATAATAATCATTAAAAAAAAAATCTTCTTCTCTGCCCACCCACCCACCTGCCCGGCTCAACCTGATGTTGCTGTTATGCTACACTACTACCACCGGCACCACAATCATCCTCTCCAGATCCACCACCACAGCAACTATAAAAATGATAGCTATAAAGTATAAACACACAAAAAAAAGAAACATATATAAAGAGCGGCGACGGAGAGATTCTCGATCTCGATCTCGATCTCGTCTCGGAGAGAATTTTATAGTGGCTGGGTACAGGGGGAAGTCCACCCTTGGGCCGATTTTCTTGCAAGTTTGACATAATATATATTCCACAAAAGGCTGTGAAAGGACAAGTTCGAGCTGATTTCTTGGCAGATCACCCTATCCCCGCAGAGTGGGAGTTATCCGACGATCTACCCGATGAAGATGTTCTCGTGATTGAAGTTAGTCCTCCTTGGAAGATGTACTTTGATGGAGCTTCTCACAGTGAAGGAGCAGGCGCCGGAGTAGTATTCGTCACATCCAACGGCGAAGTGTTGCCTCACTCGTTTACATTAACACAAAATTGCTCTAACAATGTTGCTGAATATCAAGCTCTTATCCTTGGGCTAGAAATGGCAGTTGATATAAAGCAACTAAATTTGGAGGTATATGGAGACTCCAAGTTGGTGATCAATCAGATACTCGGATCATACGAAGTGAAGAAGCTCGATTTACTCCCTTATGTGGATTACGCTAAAAGACTTATCGGATGCCTTGGTGATGTGACGATAGAACATGTGCCTAGAAAGGATAACAAACAAGCGGATGCATTGGCAAAACTTGCTTCTACTTTAGCCATGCCCGAAGACGGAGCCCATATATCAATTTTCAAGAGGTGGGTCGTACCATCAATCTTTGAACATGGAGAAATTGAAGAAGACGAAACTCGAGTGGTTTACGTGTTTGAAATCGAGAAAGAAGACTGGCGTCAATCATTTGTGGATTACTTGAAGTACGAAAAGTTGCCTAATGATCCACGTCAAAGGGTTGATATTCGACGTCGTGTGGCTCGTTTCATCTACTATAAAGATACACTTTACAGACGTTCATTTGATGGAGTCTTCGTGAGATGTTTAGGTGATGACGAAGCCGTTCAAGCCATAGAAGAAGCTCATTCCGGAATTTGCGGCGCCCATCAGTCAGGACCCAAATTACATTTCCGAATAAAAAGGATGGGCTATTATTGGCCATCTATGGTGAAGGACTGCATGGAGTATGCCCAAAAATGCGAACCTTGTCAATTTCATGCAAACTTTATTCATCAACCACCGGAGCCATTACACCCTACTGTTGCCTCATGGCCTTTTTATGCTTGGGGTTTGGATGTGGTTGGACCTATGACAAAGTCTTCCGCTGGACATCTCTATATCTTGGCAGCAACAGACTACTTTTCCAAATGGGCTGAAGCAGTACCTCTTCGAGAAGTAAAGAAGGAGAACGTTGCCGATTTCATCCGCATCAACATCATCTACCGCTACGGAGTTCCTCGATATGTGATCACAGACAACGGAAAGCCATTCTGCAACGGTGTGATAGATAAACTTTGCGAAAAGTTTGGCTTCAAGCAAAGAAAGTCTTCAATGTACAACGCAGCCGCCAATGGACTCGCCGAGGCCTTCAACAAGACTTTATGTAATTTGCTGAAGAAAGTGATCGCCAAGTCAAAACGTGATTGGCACGAGAAGACGGGAGAAGCTTTATGGGCTTATAGAACAACGTATAGAACACCTACTCAAGCCACTCCATATGCTTTGGTGTACGGTGTGGAAGCAGTCTTGCCTCTTGAAAAACAAATTCCATCATTGAGGATAGCTATACAAGAAGAACTCACTCAAGAAGAAAATGCCCGTTTGCGTCTTGCAGAATTGGAAGCTCTTGACGAGAAAAGATTAGAGGCACAACAAAATATTGAATGCTACCAAGATCGTCTTTCTAGGGCGTTTAACAAGAAGGTGCGGCCAAGATCGTTTCAAGTTGGGGATTTGGTACTTGCCGTAAGGAGGCCCATAATCGTCACTCACAAAACGGGGAATAAATTTACTTCAAAGTGGGATGGTCCTTATGTCGTCAAAGAAGCATACACCAATGGAGCGTACAAGTTGGTTGCCGAAGATGGTTTAAGAATTGGTCCGATAAATGGAAAGTTCTTGAAGCGGTACTATGCATGAAGCGGAGGAGAAGGCTCCTGGCCCGCATGAGTTGAAACTGTGCACGGCTAAAAAAAAAAAAAAAAAAAAAAAAAAAAAAAAAAAAAATCTATCTTTTTTTCTTTGAACTACGTTATGACTTGATCCCATTCGGGGTACGTAGGCAGCTTAGATATTCTCTAAGTTCAGTCCTTTCCTAAAAAAAAAAAAAAAAAATTCTATCTTTTTATCTTTGAACTACGTTATGACTTGATCCCATTCGGGGTACGTAGGCAGCTTAGATATTCTCTAAGTTCAGTCCTTTCCTAAAAAAAAAAAAAAAAATTCTATCTTTTTTTCTTTGAACTACGTTATGACTTGATCCCACTCGGGGTACGTAGGCAGCTTAGATATTCTCTAAGTTCAGTCCTTCCTTTCCTAAAAAAAAAAAATCTATCTTTTTTCCTTTGAACTACGTTATGACTTGATCCCACTCGGGGTACGTAGGCAGCTTAGATATTCTCTAAGTTCAGTCATTTCCTAAAAAAAAAAATCTATCTTTTTTCCTTTGAACTACGTTATGACTTGATCCCACTCGGGGTACGTAGGCAGCTTAGATATTCTCTAAGTTCAGTCCTTTCCTAAAAAAAAAAAAAAAAATCTATCTTTTTTTCTTTGAAGTACGTTATGACTTGATCCCACTCGGGGTACGTAGGCAGCTTAGATATTCTCTAAGTTCAGTCCTTTCCTAAAAAAAAAAATTTCTATCTTTTTTTCTTTGAACTACGTTATGACTTGATCCCACTCGGGGTACGTAGGCAGCTTAGATATTCTCTAAGTTCATTCCTTTCCTTAAAAAAAAAAAAAAAAAAATCGTTGAAATTATAAGTACAAAATACTAGGGGAGCACGATCGAAAAGGAGAATTTTTCTATATTTCATGAATCATAAAAGTGAAATAAACAAAAAAAAAAAAAAAAAAAATCTAAATCTAGCTCAAGCGAAAGGGTCTAAATCGTTCAACTTTTCTTTGGCATCTTCTAAAAGCTCGGCAGAAGCGCGCAATTCTTCTACCAAATCATCACTTAAAGGGGATGTATTTTCAATGGCAGCAATCTCTTCGTTAATCTCACGAATTTCTGTTTTAACAGTATCAAGGAGTTCTCGCTGCCGCTTTAATGATGATCTCAACTGTCCCACCCTCACGTTCAAAGCAGCACGCTCTTTCTTGACACTCTCCAAATCATTATTGGTGACTTGAACTTGAAGAGTCTCTTTGTGTTCTCTAGCTTGAGCAGTATGCAAACGATCTTTAGCCTCATCTAATTGTCGTGCTAGAATCTCTTTAGATGCCTTCTCAGAATTCGACGACCTCACCTTATCATAAGCAGTCGCCTGGGAAAATAATGACTTCAATAATTCCTCTATGCAAGATATGTCGAAATCACCAAGATCCCTCATGGTTCCAAGAACTAATTGGACATCTTCTTGAATAGACGAAATGGAATCAATTGAAGTCCGTACTATCCTCACACGAAGATCTTGCCATAATTGGCGAAGAAAAACCCGCTTGTGATTTTTCAGGAAATTTTCACCCACAAAAACTGAACAAGCACCATTGTACGACCCTTTCGCGGTCTCTTTCATCTTGGATGTTCTGGCAGGCGTCAAAGCAGTCGGCGGCGAAGCTGCACCCGTTGAGCAAGCATTGGCAGTGGAGTGATGACTAGCTTGAGATTCCTCGCGATCGTCAACGTCAATTATCTCCTTTTCCAACTAAAAAAAAAATCATTAAAAAAAACAAAAAAAAAAAAAAAAAAAAAAAAGGGAAAAGTGTTAAGTGCAACCTTCTCAGCAAAAGTGTCATTTGTTCGAGAATGACTGCCCACGTTGTTATCAATATGAAGATCTTGTGGTTTTGAAGATTGCGGGTCCCTCTTCGGCCTTTTCCAATGACGCTCTATATGGCTATTGTCACTCTCATCCGAGGGAGGCAAAACGTTCTTCTTCTTTATATCTCTATGAGGATTTTTGGTTTGGAGAACATTTTCGCGAGAAAGATTGTCGAGACTACCTCTTGCCTCGTCTTCTTTGTCTTCAAGTGGAATCTTACTTAACTCCAAGTTCATCAGACTCGCAGCTTTATTTTCAAGATAAGTTCCATAAGCTTTAGTCCACCATATCTTATAGTCGTCAGTGTGAAACTTTCTCGGATTTTGAGGAACGATGGAAAACATCACTTTAGACATGGACTCGAGCAAAACACATCGACGCCAATAACGGAGTCCGTCTATTAAAGAAGCCTCGCGAACATCTTCATCAATTACTCCGGGCACATCTTGGTAATAACCAAATTGACGACTAAATCGATGAGGACTATAGGGCTCAATAACGAAACGATTACCACGCCGCAAGGAGAGATAGCTCGAGCGAATGGCGATGAAATAATTTCTCTCGGAACCTTTTGTTGTTCCATCATCAACATATAAAGAAGACTCGCTCCTAGGGATCGTGGTACAGGTCCAAGACATAAGATCTCCTTTGTGAATCCGTTTGCGTGCATGCGCGGGGGTGTAGTATCTAGCGCTTCCTTCTCCGGAATAACATATCATCTTTGGGCCATCAACGGCTACGCCTTGCAGAACTTGACAATGGGTCTTGAAATAAAGCGCCAACCAACTATAGACGAAGTGAACAGGAAACGGAGAGTTCTCTTGATGGGGTCTCAATGATCTTGAAATCCTATTTATGCCGTTGAAGATGCTTGCTAAGACAGGAACTGCAAGAGAGACTTCTTCGCCACTTGCCATTATGCTAGCCATCTTGAACGTTGAAGGACGTATCATGCCTACATCATCAGTGGGGAGAACGAAGGTGCAAAGCCAACAAGCCAAATGGGCCGCCAAGTATGTCTCGGACCTCAGTTCGACATCAACGTTAATGCTCGAAAACACAGCTTCTTCAATGTTGATCCATTTTGCATGTGCTTCAATATTGCCGGAAGGATTGTGAGTTGACTTGGGGCGAATACCCTTCTTTTCTTTGCGCGGAGGAGGTTGAGTGTATTTCTTCTGCTTCTTCGACCAAAACTGAATCCAGCTTTCGACAGAGACATTGGAGGACGGACCTTTAGAGCGCTTCCGAAGTAAGTGGTAGGCATGGAATAGGTGTCGGCAGGAACGGTGAGAATATCGAACGCCCTTTGCATCGGAACCAATGAGTTCTTGAGAGGCAGGGACAACTTCATCATAAAAGAGCCCGGTTAACGGTAGCCCGGAGAGGATGTGCAAATCCCATAAAGAGATAGACATTTCTCCAGGAGACGTCAAGAGGGTATTTGTAGTCGGACACCATGCCGCGAAGAACGCCTTCATAATTTCAGAGTTGTAGTCGTACGTGAAGAGGGAGGCATATACAGAATCATAGATCTTCGCGGACTTTAGCTTGTGCTGGCAACGGCTGAGAACGTCTTCGGTCCATTCCCAGTACCCTCTGAAGAACTGAAAGCCGCCGGAAAGCTCGAGAGTATCTCCCCACTTGACTTTTCCTTTCACGATGTTGCCACCCAAAGTCGGCAGAAGGCTCGGACTGCTTGACTCTTCCGGAAGCGAGGATCTGTCGGGTTTATGATTTGATGCTCGCAAACTATACACGTACTCGTACTTATTATGAGGATGCTCGTGGGACCAAACGGACATGCGATTCGGAGTCGTGAGACGTGGCCATTGCTTTGCGTAAGAACCAATAAGGGGGGCATAAATCGTCAAGACGGTTCCTTTGTCGTTCGGTTGGTAACGATCGTCAAGAATTACCAATTGCTCGTCGCCTAAAGAAGAGAAAGCTTGCTTGAAACAAACCATCGGAAAATCTATCAAAACAGATCAAAGAAAGAGCAATAAGTTCGACGTGGTGAGAAAAAAAAAAAAAAAAAAAGAGCGAGGGCAAGGAATCGTGCTAAAACCACCCAATGGCCAAACCTAAAACGAAGAAAAGAGGACCGGTGAGTTAAAGAAAGGAATCAAAAGCACGTTCAAGTATCAAAAAAAAAAAAATAAATAAATAAAAGAAAGGGAAACGTTTTTTTTTTCATGGAACTGACCTGAAATCGAGCAAAAGAAATTAACAAAAGGCTGAATTCGATGAAGCTAAAAAATCCTGCTGCAAGAGGGTCGATGACTGAAGCTGATGAATGAAAAAACTAGTAAGGGTCACCCCCTTTTATAAGCTAGGAAAAATATCTATCCCATTGATGTTAGGATTGAGATTGTCCAATCGCAAGGAGTTTGAAACCTATTGGGAGAAGGATAATACATGTTTGAGTGGAGAAAATCAAATCGCAAAAGGAGTCCTTTTGCATGAATGATACGGAAGTTTGGGACTTTCTCTCCTCATGGAAATCAAGTTGCATTCAAAATTTGATTTTTATGTGGGCCATGCTCTAACCTATAGAAAATATGTAACAAAATTCAATACTTGTTTGAGAGGAATTATGCACTCTCTCACGTGCAAGTCAAATTTGAGTTTTGGGAATAATTGGGCCAAATTGATTAAAGGAAGAGTGAGCTCAAATTTTATTGGTTTATATCAGCAATTAGCCTAGACCAAGAATCGAACAAATGTTTTTTATTATATACCGATGAAAGCCAATATTATAGTGACTTATTCACTTCAAGACGCATTGTCTGTGAACAAGTCTCGTGGGGGCATTTGTAGACGAATGAATTTCCAAGCAATTAAATTGCTAATTTTCATAGAACCGAGTGATTTATTTATTTTTACAAGTGGCAAATATGTAATTATACATATATATAT